TGGCTTAGCTCTTTCATATGGAGTAAGCGTAGACCTAGATTGGCTGTGTTGCAATTGCCTGGATCTATGGGAGGGCAACTTGCCAAATATAAAGACATACTAAATATGTGTCCATTTGAAGTATATGTCTGAATGGGTAAAGAACGATACTGCCTCAATATTAAATCATCATTATAAAAACACACATTGCAAGATATACTGTTTTTTAAAAGTTGTGAATTAGAGATATTTGTACCAACCCCAAAACAGTCAATACTTTGAAAGCATGGGGATCAGTCTGCTGTCTGTGACATTATGTGGATGTTATTGCCTGTCAATACACAGATGGTTAAAGGGTTATGGGAAAAGAAATTGTCTATTGATTACGAGGCATGGAGAAAGATATCCACTTACGCAACGAAAGCAAGACAGGTTAAAATCATTCATAGAATACATACAGTATCTCCTAATTGTAGACATTCATTTAATCCTGATTTTGGGCCTTCCAAGTAAACACATAACTCAGCGTCTAACAAAAGATTATATAATATACTGACATTTGCAGCTAGAAAAAATATAACATTACAGAGGGTTTAAGATACGATCCTATTTTTTACTACTTACTATCATTTCTTTAAGGCCGGCACAGATTGATATTTCAACTGGTTATCCTACCCAGGTTCAATTCTCCACTGTGACACATCCATCAATGTGTTCCTGAAGACACTTAACGACCTAGTTGCTCCAGAGGCGTGCAACCTCTGACATATATACCAATTGTAAGTTGCTTTGGATAAAAGCGTCAGCTAAATGAATAAATGTGATGTAAGCTTAAGATTAAGATCAACTTTATTGTCCCCTGAGGGAAATTTGTCTTGGGCATCAGTGCCACATGAGGCTGCAGTAAATACCAGTAACACATATGGACTTTACACTCACATACATCATACAATCCATACAATCAATTGTAATGGGCTCTCACTTCCCTGTGATCAAATATCATCTCTTTTGTTTTCAAATTATTAAGGATGAGATGATTCCTCACACACCAATCCTTAAAGAAGTCAATCTCCCTGTGATAAGTTAAAGGGCAGTTGCCAACATGCAATAAACTTAAAATAATTGTGTCATCAGAGAATTTTATGACATAGCTGTTGGGCTCACTACTTCTACACTCGTTAGTATAAAGTGTGAACAAGAGTGGAGAGCTGACAGCTCCTTGAGGTACCCCTGTACTACAATATTTCGTATTAGAGAGTGGAGCCTTTACCTTCACTTCTTGTGAACTGTTTGTTAAAAGAGAGTAAAACCATTTGATAATTAAAGGATTAACTTTCATGTCATCAAGCCTCTGAACGAGCAAATGAGGACGGAAAGTATCAAAAGCAGAACTAAAATCAGCAAATAAAACACGTGCATAAACATCAGTCTTCTAAGTGCTTCCGTATTAAATGAAACACTGTAATGACTGCATCCACAATACTAAGCCTCTCCTTATATGCAAACTGGAAGGGATCGAGACAAGGAGTTACTTTTTGTCTAAGTAGGTTCAGCATTATTCTCTAAAAGCACTTCATAACCTTGCATGTAAGTGCAACAGGTCTAAAATCCGAAATTTTTGGTACTGGGATTATTATAGACTTCTTCCAGAGAACTGGAACAGTATGAACGCATTTTAAGCAAGAAGGCCAGCAAACCATCTGGACCTACAGAGTTCTTGTTGCTAACTTTGCTAAAGATTGACTGTACCTGCAAAGTGTCAATTTTCTTATAACCTGGAATGGCATTAAAGACTTCCACCTTCGCTAAAGAAGAGTCGTTCAGTACATCATATCTTAGAAAGAAGTCATTCAAACTGAGTTTTGTTAGAGTTCATGTTAGTGATGTTTTTCATTGAATTCCACATTTTTTTATTGTCCAAGGAGCAAAAGTTCTGTTCAATGGCCTCTCTGTGATTTTCTCTGGCTTTCCTCAGCATCATGTTTAGTTCCTTTTGTGCTGCAGCCACCCCCAGCTGATGCTTGTTTTTGAAGGCCAGCTTCTTTTTATTAATACAGGCTTTCACTTCCATTGTGATATATGGCTTATTGTTGGGGAAATGCAAAACATCCTTTTTGGGGACAACATTATCAACACAGAAATTAATATAGTCAGTATTTGTTTCAATTGCCTCATTTAACTACAAAGTGTGGAAAATGCTCCAGTCAGTACTAGAGAAACAGCCTCTCAAAGTCTCTACACTGTCCTCAGTCCACTACAACACTGTCTTATGTTGTGGCTTGCTGGACTTAATAACAGATCTATATGTGGGTATAAGATGGACAGTCGAGTGTTCAGAGATGGCGAGAGGAGGAAGCGATTTAGCTTTATATGCACTTTTGATGTTGCCAAAACATTTGTCCAAAACCTTGTTATTACATATGCCACAATTGATGTATTGATGAAATCCAGGTAAAGCAGACTCTAGCCGACAGTGGTTGAAATCCCCGAGTATAAAGATAGGTGCCCCTGGAGTGCGCTGGAGTTGATTATGCACACATTCAGCTAGGAAATTTGCAGCTCTACCAGCGTTTCCACTGGTGGGGACATAGGCAGCGCAAATTACAATATTCCCAAACTCTCTTGGTAAATAAAAGGGTCTCATGGAAAGACAGAGCACTTCCAGATCCGGGTCGCATGAAGTTTCCATAATTGTCAGTTCTTTGCACCAGGAATCTCTCACATAAACACAGATGCCTCCTCCTCTAGTCTTCCCTGAGGAGACATCCCTGTTCGCTCGTACACAGCAGAAGCCCTCTAGCTGAAGCATATTGTCCGGTATATCCTTACGGAGCCATGACTCAGTTAAGACCATAATGCACGACTCCCTGTATTCATGGCAATAACGTGTATTGAGTTGTAGATCCTCCATTTTGCTGAACATTGACTGTACATTCCTCAAAATAATAGAAGGAAGTGGCGGCTTATTACCCCTGCGCCGGAGCCGCTGTCTGATCCCTCCACGCCTGCCTCTTTGCGCAGGTGGGGATTCCCTGCAGCAGCGTCTCTCCTGACGTCCTCCGGTAGATGAACCGGAGATATGTCTCCTCTGTGCTGGAGGGCAAGCAGGATCTCTCTGGAGTAGACTTGATGTTTTTCATTATGCATTGACGATTTAAAGGGTGGATGCAAACTCTTACACAGGAGTTCCCCAACCACCTACATAAGCAGTAGCAGTGATATAAGTAGCTTCAAGTCTCGGCTTTAACACAGATCCACCTTCCTTCGCTGTGTTTTGCTAGTTATGTTAATGTAATGCTGCCAACTTGAGTGCTATAGCTCCCAATCCCACAGTACTTGACTCGTTGAGCCCAGTAGCTACACTTGTGTGTAGGAGTAGCATCTAAAACACAAATGCCAACGTCTTCACAACACTATACGTACTAAAAACAAATAAAAACGAACAACAGTTGCAACAGTAGCAGCAGCAGCAGCAGCAGCACTAAAAACCCCTGTCGCCAGCAGGGCAGCACCAGTGAATATGTAATGTAATTAATACCTTACATGCACTCTTTACCCTAAATTTCTAGGGTTTGGGAACCCTACCTGAAGTATCTTGAACCTGATTTGTCTACCATCATCTTACAAGGAGTCTCCTGAGAGGTTCCTTTGGTATTATTTGACTTCCCTGAAACTGTGCATTTAGACCAAATGCAAAGCGAGGGTTCGGGGTGACAAATTTACATACAAAGTCAGTGCAAAGACGCGGAGAGACGTCAGGCGGTGCGGAAGATGTGGTGCAGAGGACACGCTGCCGGCTAAATAGTGAATCTCTGTTGGCCCGACAGACAGCTGCTGAGTGACTGGGAGCTGTGGAGGAGAGAGCGCCTGAGCTTTTGGACAAATAAACACCCGTAGTTGGAGTGGATTCTGCTGCTACAACTGCACCGTTTACTGGTGGGAGGAGCTCAAAGGTATCAAGTATACAATAATATAACACAGAAAATAGAAACACATTGGAGAAGCTTGAACCTGAGAACAACCACAGCTAAGAAGAAATGATTTAATGTTTTCAACAAATCAGGATTGGACTGGTATTAATATTATAATTTTAATTTAAAGTTTAAAAAAGTCTGGCAAAATATATCAATGTGAGAGACATTTCTTTTATATTACAATTTCCCCAAGGACAAATTAAGTAATCTTGATTACAACATTACAAGAACATTTGCAAATGATGGACTATCATGAATGAGCTAAAACACGATACAATGTTCCAGAGAGCTATGGGGGACTGCTGGTGGAATTGGTAAATATTTTCTGTTGGTTCGACTCATTTTACACTACATGTAGTGATTTTTTTCATTGCTAATATAAAAGCATTATTAATTAATTAGATTGATCTTTTATTGCAGTACCCTTTTTCATCTCTGAGTAATGTCTGCAAAGGCATTCCTTTCGGATGCTCCCACAGTATAAATGTATACAGAGATCAACTATTAATTATAGTGTGACTGTGAGACTTTGAATTAAGAAGCTTCATTGAGGTGCTGTAAGAATGCATCACTCTACTGTGTAAATCACATTTCACGAGCTTGTGCATGTGCAGAATCCAGAACAGGTATCCCTGACAACCAAATAACCCAGCAACCTCAGAGCCATTTCTAGCCCTAACAACGAAACAATTCATTTCATTCATTCTGCCCCCTCTATCTCTCCAGAACCTTCCATCATCGCTGCTCGAATATCATTTGGTGTAAAAAACATCTTAACCTAAAATAGCCATTTTCATTTGCATATCTAGCTTAATCACTTCAAAGCTTAAACCTAAACATTAACTATTTTAAAGCCACAATGGATTTAAAAGCAAATCCTATTATGGTACCCGCCAGTAGTAGAATAAAAAAAAAACCTGTGGCAAAAACAACACACACAAATACTACTATTTAATCTTCAACCTAAACTCACTTCTTCTGGGCCAATCATAGTACTTGGTAAAATCCATCATTTGTTTGTAGACATTAAATCTCCATATCGCCTACCTCATTGATGGCTAACTGCTCTCCTCCACCACCTCCCGGATGTCCAAAGCGATGTCCAGAACTCCGAAACTCTTCATACAGCAGATCCTCTTCACTGTCCAGCTCGTCCCCAAATCCTGCTTTCTCTGACGCCCCATCAGGAACAACCACCGCTGTCACAGAGAGGGGAGGACAGAAGAGAGACAAAGACAACACATTAATCTTATTCTGATAAACTGATTTACAAAAAGTCTAATGTGTTGACTTTTTAATCCAGCCTGAAACCTGGGGTGCTAAACCAGTTAACATTCTTCAACCGAGCAAATCAATAAATTACCAAATAAATTAAATAAATATTTCAGTGTAAACTAGGATGCTAGGATTGAAACTTTCTACAGGATTACTTTAAAAATAAAAAGGAGCGAAGAAAGTGGCTACCATTCAAAATGCATAATATATTACAGAATTTGGAGGAGGTCAATGCTTTTTGAGGAGTACATATTATAGTTTTTCTCAGTTGCTTTGGTGCATTAGAATCAGATCAGAATTGAAATTCTCAAAACTAATTGTTCAACCTCCACATCATCTTTTCACTTGTGCACATCATAAAAGCAACTTCTCATTATTTTGAACAAACTGCAAATACTTTCATGTATTGATGCAAATGATTATGTACAATATATATAATGGTGATAGTGTGTTTTGCTGTTTACTACATTATCAACTGCTTATGTCATGCTGATCACACATCACATGTATTATACCTGTATTATATATATTGTGTATTATACCACAGATCACATATATTATACCTGTCTCTGTTGAATAGTCTTACCTCCCAAAACTTCTAGGCATTAGTTCATTGCATATGTCACTACATAAAAAATGGTCGACCACGTTGTCAAAATCAAAATCAGGAACATCAGCTAAAGGGGTGTTTCCAATGCTTACATTTCTAATTTTGTCATTTTTACCGTTGTGCTATGCAATGCTGTAAAACAGAAACAGAAAATACTTACAGACTACATTATACTGACAACATGGCTAAACATGACCATCTTGTTCGTAAACAATGACATAAGCACTTGTCATTCTGATGTCACTGACAGGTTTACTGACCTAAATATTTAGACTAAGGATTTTTAGCAAGTTACACGCTTTTGCAGGTAAACCACTGTATTGTGCTGTAAGATCAGGTTTAAAAAATGTACCTACTGTTTTGCAAATTTTAAGGATGATTTGAGAAATGTACCAAAGCAGCTGAGAAAAACTGTTACAAGGAAGGGGAGGGAAAGGGGGTCGTGCGAGGACGGGATTAAGTGGCTCAACTACATAGGAGGTCACCTGTAGGCACAGAGAAACAATGTGGATTAAACATACAAGCACAAGTTACAAAAATGGACTCAATCAACCTATGTGGCTCCAAAGAGTTGAGATCATATATCCAATATGTTTCCCTTTTCAGTAACAGAATTTTGATATGTTAGAACAATGTGTACATCTACCACAGCTATAATTTCCATGTACCTCCATAGAGAGCCAGTTTGTTTCCTTGTTAGGTTCTCTATTCATAGATATTTATTAAGAAAGGTATATTTAATATATATTCTACAAAAAGGATTCCCCTCCTCCGGCTTGTATTATGTATTCTGTATAGTACCCTTTCTACTAATATATTTTTTCTACTTTTTCTACTAGTTTTTGATACGTATCTTATGAGGGAATTCATGTATTTTGTACTCTATGATATTTATGGCCTCTTATGGAAATGTATGTATTCTGTATATACTCATCCTCTGTAGTATTAGAGATGGAATAGACAGTTTTTATAGTCTAATAATATCCCTTTATCTTATGGAAGTAGTACTTGATATTGCCTATATCTGTTGACTTTTTGAAGTGCATTTCTATTGGGGAATGTCAATCTGTTGGATATTCCACTAAGCAGCATCTCATTATTTACAAATACAAGTCTGACGAAGCAACATGGAAAATGTGCTGTCCGCTCCTTTTTGTTTTTTATGTAATTTACATAAAATAGTGCCAATCCATCCAAATTCATTAGCATGCAGGGGTCTAATGCCATAGTACACATACATTTGATATAAGAATTTACTACTACCTGTCTTCTTTATCACTGTAAACTGAATTTTTCTATGGATTTTGGTCAGATAGGAGTTCTGAATACGTAACTTTGGGCTCTGAGAACATAACCTTGGGTTCTTCCTGCACTGCGCTTTTGTTCCTTTGTATGGTTTCATGCCTCACAGGGAGCCTTTCAGAATCGAAGAGTGTTTTGCCTGACAGATTTTGCTGACTTGGTCAGATTTTGTTGATTTGGTAATTTGCCCTTGATTTTTGATATGATAAAGTAGGCTACGTAGTTGAATAGTTTCTTTTTTTGTCTATTATAACTGAGTTCACTGTTGATATATGATCGGGAGTCTGCACATGGTTTTATTTTAAAAATTGACCGGACTCTCTATGCCGTTTCTGTTTCTGAATTCCTGACTGTTTCATCTGCTCTGTGCTGCTTGATGAGGCTTCTGTCAAAAATGGACCGGCTGCATATTGTCCGCGGAGCGGAGAGCTGCTTCTGGGAGGAGCTGTGTTGCATCTGGTATGAGCACAAGCATTGACTAGAATAGCAGCTATCAGTAGATACTGAATATCTGTACTAAAAGTATTGGTAGCTGTAGCCCTAGTTAACATGTAATTTTAATTAGAATATTAGCATCATTCTGTAACCTCAAACAAAAACTTCAGGCGGATGCTGATTTATAGCTAAAATAAAACATGTTTGGGATTTCATAAAATGTGCATCAGCATGCTCAGGAAAGTGTGTCATTACTGTCACTCTCTGGCTGTGAGAGACACAGTGACAGTGCAGCTGAGGTCTGGGTGGGGGTAGACACCCCGTTGGCTGCATGTTACTGTGCCACCAAATAACCAGAGCACAGAAAGCTCTAACACATGGTCTCACATCATCCTATCATCTGACAACCCCTCTGCAGGTAGAGAGCGCTTTATTCAGGCAGATTTGGGCAGATTCCTGAATATAGTTTAAAAAGTAAACAACACTATCATTCTGTGGCCAAAGAGGTGATATATTTATTATTATGGAAAGAGGTTTTCTGGATTTATAATCTCGTAATCTTACATCCAGTTGATGATGAATTTGGGTTGATTTTGTTGAGCAGCACCCATGGAATAACCATGGAGATAGTTCCAATTGCTTCCTTTCATCCTACATGAACACAACATTATCCACAGCAGCACACAACAAAACAACATACCATGGTGCACTAGATGCACAAGCAATATAGTTTTCAATATACAGGTCTGCTGTTTCTTGCCTGTTTTTGACAGACATTGGTCAGTAACAGTCATTCCATGTGGTGGATGAATTGTTCAAAATTTAACATAATATGGGCACAAAATATCCTCTATCAGCAGCCTCACATCATGTGAATATGAGTCTTTTACAAAGCAGGCTTTGTGTTTCCTCTGATCGCAGAAACATCCTCTGAAGTGTCTCAACTCACAGTTTGTGGCTACCTGGCTGATGTGCTAAAAATACACTTGCTGCCACACCTCATCATAGGTGTCATCCTTGGCTGCCTCCCCAACAGCTGTTGTCATGGAGGATGTATCCGTGGTGACAAATCACCAAGGAGACAGAAAGAGATGGATATAATGAAAGAGCACATAGAGCCCCCCTGGTGAGGGGTGGGGGCAGTGTATTTAAAGTGATTTGGACGCTTTTTTTCTACCTCACTAAGCGGGGACAGTAGGCAGTCCTCTATATTCAACATCTGGCACAGAATGCTGAAGGTATTGTCCTCTTGTGAATACATCAGCATCTTACACCTCATATAAGATGCTATAATGTGGTATCACCATCATTGCCATACATGGGACTATGAAAGTTGCGGGTGCTGCCCTCATGGGGGCAGTGTAGGACACCCTGACTGGTGATGTGTGTGAAGAGATGGAGAAGCTCCAAGTATTGACTGGTCTTTACTCATGTGCAGGCACCTCCTGCAGTCTGGAGGGGTGAAAGGAGGTACACCGCGTGAATTCTCCAGCAAGGCACTGCTCTACACTGCTAACTGGAATATCCTAAACAGCAATAGCAACATGAAAAGCTACCACACTGCAGCTTGAATTTCTTATAATATAGTAACACCCTATTCAGAATCACAATTTCTGTTTGACCAAAATATTTTCCTTGACAAAATTTTGTCAATGCTTGAGAACAGGAGCAGAATGGGTCATTAATGAGACCAATAAATTAATTCAGAGAATAGCAATAAGTGCAGCATAACCCTTCCCACTGATATATAGTAATGAACACTTGTTTGCACCCACAATTAAATAAAAATGCAACAGTGAAATCAGGAGAGTTCCATCTAAGGAAATCTACTGATAGTAGGGAGTAGATCTGGAGAACAGTGGCTCGCCATCATGGATTAAACTGTTAGGGGGCCAAGGGCAAAAATTGTTCTCCACCTGCTGACCATCTACAGTACCCCCATCAGCGTACATGCATTGTGTATATACACTGTTTCATTCCCCATGGACTAGGCTTGGGTGATCTTCTCTATTTTCATATCATCTGAACATGGCTACTTGAGGTCACCGATTGGCGATCTGATCTCCAGGGGGCGGTGTTGACGTTGCAGCAAGCCAGTGAAATGCCAGCACGGAAGAAATAGTCTTATTAGCTTTAAAAGAAACCATCAGAAACATCTTTAAATGCACAGTGCAGGGAGCGACTAAGCAGAGGTGCCGAGTGAATCAATGCGCTCCGTGCAGCTCCACAATGAATCATGATTTTACTCTATTATATTATATTAAATAGTATATAGCATGTGGCGGTCAGCATTGATATTGTGGCGCGTTGTGTCGGCAAAATTACTCAATGAATGGAAAACACTGCAGAGTGGTGCAGATTTTAGAGACTGTTTTTATGTCATCTTAGTTCTGATGGAGAGTTAGTTAAAATCACCTTAATATCTGTGCATTGAACCAATCGCTGATCATCCCTTCAGTCGTCAATAGGCAATCCAATCGCCAATCGGAACAAGCCTATACTGGATGTAAGTTTATGAGATTATGAATCCAGAAAGCATCTTTCCGTAATAATTAACATCATGGCCTTGGAAATATA